GACGGGGATTCGATCTTGTTCAATTTCCCGGGTCGGGAAGATGCCAAGCTTTATTCTGGCTGTCCAACAGGCGTCGCCGCCTGGCTGCTTCCCGTCGATCATCCCGTCTCTGGTGCAGCAGTGTGCCTCATCCTGTTGGCTGCAAGGGGGTGTGGCCTATTGTGCGCGAGTGTCAACAGTCCACCCAAGGCAGAGGAAAGCCGGCTTGGGTCTTGGCTGGACAGGCATTTTGGGCATGCTCGATCAAGCTTTGGCTGGCTGGATGACTGGCAAAAGAGACAGAGGCAGATGCAGAGGCTCACCTGCGTCTTTTGCCCCATCGCCTGTTAGTCAGATGATGCTCTGCAATGTCAATCTGCGTCGATGGAATTGTCAAATCATTGACTTGACCCAGCGAAGCTCTTATTCACCAGCGAGGTTGCACCCGCGCTATTCTCCAGCGGGAGGATGAACCCACTGATCGCCACCGGGGCCGAGTGCCTCACCTGCACTATTAACATGTTGGGCTGACCAATTGGTAGTGATAGGACGCATCAAGAGAAAACCAACCTAACAAGACGGGGGGCCCAACAAACGAGACAGACCAGGGCAAGCAAGGCAAGGCAAGGCAAGGCAGGCCAGGGAAAGCTCCGAGATCAACCCCAGGCGGAAACCGAAACAGAAACAAGAAGAAGCAGGCACTCTTGCGGGGGCACCAGATACAGACCCAAACAGAGAGGCTCACTCAAACTCGAAGAACAAGACCCTGGAAGAGAAACGGCGCCATTTCATCCTTGGCTTCTCTCTATTGATTTCAGAGTCTTTCATTTTTCTGGCGTTGCGGGTCAGTGCGTGCCGCATCCCATTTGCAACTGGACTTCCATTCGCTGATCGTGACCAGAAGCAGACATAAGAAGAAGGAGGGAAATAAGCACGCAGTCGGGTGCGGTACAGCAGACAAGACGTCTGGCGCATCTAATATCTTTTGACAGCCCTTCTTCCCGTCGGGGATAATTTGCGACCGCTCCACACCAGCATCAGAGATCGTCATTTGGCAGATGCGCCCCGGGAGGCCAAGTATCCGAGGCGAAACTGACGATTGATTGGACTTTGATTCCAACGACTTTTTCTTTCTAGCTGCCCATAAGGTTGCGGGCTTGAGATCTCCATCGGCTTTCATCTCGGCCGCGAACAACGCCGGACGAACCCAACGCTCTCCGCAGGCTGTGTCTGCTGTTGGTCGCTTGGCGCTTGATTTGCGGTACCTGTCTCGTACTTTTCGCCATCTGCCAGAACACGAGCAGAAAAAAAAAGAAGCGAAAGGCAGAAAAAGAGTGCTTCAGAGACACACCAGCTACATACACGAGAGACAAGCTCTACGCGCATCTCGGGATATCTTTGGTTGTATCAGATGTACGTCTCATCTTCACTTTCATGTGTACCGCGCTGTACCTGGTCACATCCCTTGGTGCGGATCTCCCGGTCTCCTCTTTTTACTCAGGCCTACCTTACTTCCACCGGTCCCCATTTACGCGCCCAGGGTATTCGCACCCTTCTACTGACTGCCCTCTTCAACAAGGCAACTTTCCCTGTTGGGCACCGTCCTTCCCTCACATCCTCACATTGACATTGCATCCCGTGGGAACCCTGCTTGGGGGCTTCCTGACCTTGTTCGCAATGTTAACCTTACCACGCTACGTACTGCTCTACATCCACTGCATCATCCATTTCCCCTCACGTTCCCATCTCCATCTCTATCTCCATCCCCATTTGTTCCCCAGTCGAAATGGAATGGCAAGACGAATATTTGTGGCACCCCGGGCATCAGTTGCAATGTTTTGTGGTGGCTTCTCTGTGATAGGTCTGCCGGTCTCGTGTACATGCACTCTCCTTGGTGTATGCACATCGTTGACAGGTCGGCCTGGTGCAAGGTTTGGAGGCGGACGGACGCATGCAAGGGTTCAGCCGGTCGGTAGTATCCAAGCCAGATCCAGTGACACTGGAGCACGCCGCTTGAGTCCCGATTGCACAGACTACTGCCGCTCCCTCCTTGCCGTTAGACGTCCCCCGGTTCGCCCTAATTCTGGCCACATGCCATACGGCCATTCCCATCCCTCTTGTTCATCCCATCCCACCCACTTATTGGGCTCGCTGCAGCTGCTCACAAGAGCTATGGCCAATCACGCTAATCCATGGTTCGCAGACGTCGACACCGACAGCTTTCATCTCGCCATCCGTCCACGCCCATTCTCCAGCTTCAGACGCCCCCTTCCCTCACCCGCTCGCTGAAGCTCTTGCTTTTGGGCTCAAGCTTAAGCCCTGCCGTTGTACCTGGCTCAGTCAGTTGAGGTGCCAAGCATAGAGCAACCAGCCGGGCTGCCCACCCTCCTCCGCTCCTTGGCCTGTCGACTTACACGGCAATCTCGCGCCAGCAGGACTTCCGTGTGTGAAGTGTGAGTGACTAGGCCACCAACTCTGTACATATCTGGACGTATACGTACCGGGGGTGACAAGCATTGTCCCGGTACTGCGATTTTTGCTCTTTCCGCTGCGGTGCGTTGCCCATCACGGCGATCTCAAGTAAGTGCCATCCATTATTCCTTTTTTTTCCCTCCTCTTGTCCTCACCCTTCCTCTTTTTTTTTTTTTCCTTCCAAACCTGCACTGAAGTCGTTCTCCATGGATACCTAATCCTCCGTCTGGATTTTTGCGGCCCCCATCATTTGTCATTTCCCGCTTTCTCGCTGTCGGCCGTTGCCTTCTGCCCTGGCACGAACGACTAGTTCTTCTCCTTCAGTCTCCTTGCATGGGGGCCCCTCCATTGCTTCTGTCGCCTCCTAGAACGACCACCCCGTGTCCGGTCCATGAAGGGCACCGAACGCTCAAGTGCCTTTACGGTGTCTAAGTAGCGTGCCAAAGGTACACTTGAACATAGTGACAGCCCTGTTCCCTTGCCCACCACTAGCCCCTTCGGCCTCACATCCAAGTATCCCCAAACCCCATACCACCTTTGCCAGCTGAAGCGGTCCCACGTCCATCATCGTCTATGAGTACAGCCACTCAAAAACGCGCAGCATACCTCCAATGAGCGACTGACTACCGTTCCCCCACCCTTTCTCTTCAGATCAATGGAACCTTGCAGCTCATAAGACACCTGGAATCTCGCATCTCAACGGCGGCCTTATCCCTGCCTGGCACTGTCATCCTCTCTCCTCTCTACATCGAATACAACATACCCTTTCTCTCATACTCAATCCATATTCCATACCCGTACGCCCCTCTCTCTCCCCTCACCTCCCATCCCCACAAATGTCATCCGGTCTTGGAGCCTTGCTTGGCCGTCTCCTCTTCCTCCACCACCAGAAGTCACCCGCAGCCTAGACTATCTGCACTTGCCAGGGCAGAAAACAGAGCCTTCTCTAAAAAGAAACGACGAGGGGTGATACCGTAAGGGAGGGCCGTCGGGAACCCCAGAGCGGAGCTATTGGTGCGTGAGCTCTCTGTTAGTGCGGCAAGCAGAGGAAAAGCAATATCCATCTTCGCAAGGTCCCTGTTCCTTCCGCGTGGATCTGCCCATCCGGACTTTTGTGTCTATCGCCACAGACTCGTCGTCGTCTATCCTACCTTACGCTCATAACGCGTACCTGGGCCTGCAAGGAGAGACCGGAGCAACTTGCTATCTATCTGTCGACCTCTCCAAGAAATGCAACACCACTTCCCCGTGCCTCACCAACATTCCTCATCTACCTACTTCACCCCCGCAACAAAATCAGCGACACAGTCTGACTTTCTGAGTCTGCGTTTCTCCCTCTCGCCTCCCATCTCTTTCTCCCCTTCTATCATCATCCACATCTTCGGCATTGTCCACCGTTTCTGTTCATGCTCGTCTAATATCCTTGCGCACCACATCTCCACCAGCTCTGGTAGGCCTCGCAAGTTGCCTCTTCCTTTCATGCCAAAGGAAATGCAGTAGTACTGCGAGACCTTAGGCTTGTTTCCATTGAGGCCTGTTTCTAACTGCTGCGCCTTGGTTTTGCGAACAGGTTCGTTGCCAGTCTGGGAAACGAACGAACGAGGCACGGCCCAGCTCCACGGGTTCGGCATCGCGAACCACAACAACTCGTTTGTCAACAACTCCGAGCCGTGATTGGGTCTAATTCTCGCGAACACCCTGGTCTCAACGGTTGAGTGCGTGATCCCCTCCCACTGCGCACACCAGCTGCAGGACGACGAACTCCAGCAAGAATCCGATGCGGTTCGTGCTGCGAGCTCCCGTGTGGCCAGCAGTTCCCGCCAAGCAATGTCGACTTTGAATCTTTCGCAATTTGGCTAACTTGCATTCCAGGAAACCAGCCCTGGCACGAAGGCCTTTCAGTCGGTTACCACCGCGCTGGCATCTTTGGGTCCTCCCGAAACTCCATTTCAGATTTCGGTTTGCAAGCACTCCAGCGACCAATGACAGGTGCATCGGTCTGAGTCTTTTGCACCCGTTATTCATCGTCAAAGAAGTGGTACTGGTTTAAGATCGCCGCCTCTGAGCATTTTCTCAGCCTTCTCAGATCGCTCGTCTTCCCAACCTGCACTTTTCGTCTCTCTCAACCTGCTACTCAGCCGCAGCGACAACTTTGCTCCCTGGTTCCAGTCGCGTCAACCCTCCGAAGGCCAATACAGCCGATCGACCAGTTTCCTAGCGCCACTCGCCAGCTCGGAAACGCCATCCACATATCTGAGTACGGTGTCTCAAACCACTGCTGGCGGGAGAATCTCCTAAGACTGACTCGCCTCTATTAGGGATCCTCCCTTTCCTCGCACTTGGCCTTAATTTGGTAAACAAGACTGGGCTTCACTTTAATCACAGCAATCTCAAGACATATCTCTCCCTTTCTCCCTTTGTCCCCCGACGGTCCCACAAGGCCATAGTCTCCTCCTGTCGTTGCAACACCGCTCCCGAAACAGTGGTTTGCATTTTCCCGGCACCAGACCAGACATCTTTTCCCAAGTGCACCCTTCTCAACAGCTTGAATGTCTGCTGCGAAGTTTGAGTGTGCTTCCTACAAGCATTTCGAAGTGAGTCAGCCCATCACCAGAGCACGGAGCCGAGCCGCCCCTGAGACGTTGCTGTTGGTCGCACGCAAGCTTGTTCTTGCCGACGGTATAGAAGTTTGAAAGGCTGACAGCTCCTCTCTCCCTGAAGCAGCCCGACTTCCACCCCCAGAGGCCAATTATCATCGGCGAGGAAGGCCTCGACTCACCCGAGACGGTGACCCTCAAGTACGAAGAGGCGGTTGCGAGGGCAAACGGAGACCTTCGGGGTGATTCCCCGCCAGGTGGTCTCCTCCCCATGTCGCACTACGGGAAGCACCAGCCAGGCCCAATCCACGGTACGTTTTCTTCAAGCCAGTGAGCTGCATCAATCCTCCTGAGTTGATCTGGAGGAACGATTGTGTCGGCCGAGCTGGCCATCGAAACAGTGCAACTTAGCTGACAAGACGTGATGTTTGCAGGGTACGACTCAGCTCGCGGATATGAGGAGGCGGCCTACCAGCAGTATGGCGCGCAAAACTATCCCGCCCAGCATGGCGGCGCGGCTCAACTCACAGCGGCTCAGATGAACCAAGGAGCATTCGCAGCCAACAATGCGGTTGCACCATACATGGGAGTCGGCAGTGTTGACTTGTCCGTGGCCTCATTTCAGCCTTCCACTGGTGGCGCCGGCACGAAAGTGCTGGTGAAGGTCTCTTCGGCGTATGATCTGCTTGCGATGGCACCTTACTACTTTCTCGTTTTCGGAACGAAGAAGGTCCCAGCAGATCCCATTCAGGACCCTCAAGACAACGGCAGCTTGTTGACTGTCTCGGCGGATGCGCCGCCTTTTGTGATCACCGGCTGCCCCAACGAGAACGTGCCAGTCTCGCTGGTGATTGAGACGGAAAACCATGAGCACTTCCAGAGTGCGCCGGTGGGCCAGTTTGTATATCACGAAGCACCCCTTGGAGGACCAGGTGCTAGCTCGGAAGTCATCACGAGGAAGGTCTCCAAGTCACCTGAGCAACAACATCAGTCACCCAGGTCAGCAAGCACACAGCTAGGCAACGAGTCCGCTACAAATACCTACGACTTCGCGACAGCTCCGCAGCAGCCCACACAGTCTCCCTATGGAAGCAACTTTCCGCAAGACAGCAACAACACCAACATGCTCAGCGCATACCGTACCAACTCCTTCACGGATCAGCATTATCCGCGCGCCGTGCCGCCGCCATTGCGACCACCGATGGCCGGCTGGCAGGCGTACGGCCGAACACCGGGTCCACCCATTACGCACACACAGATTTCGCGCCCTAGCTTGACTCCCCTTCCCATGCCTTCCGCCACGACCCCCCAACTTGTGCGAACCAGCTCTATTCCCAGCTCCCCCGGTGGAGGACAGGGATCAGGATATAGCCACTGGGGCTCGTACTCCAACAAGGCTGTGTTGAAAATCATGGGAAAGCTCGACAGCATGGCCGTGGATTGGTCTCCAGAGGAATGGTCCAACCGGAGACGTATCGTTATGTTCAGCAAGAAGCAGTCGGGCTCGACACTAACGGCGAGCTTCAGGGCCGTCAATGTCAATGAACGGCCGCCCAACAGCATTTGCATCAGCTGCATTTGGTGGGCCGAGAAGAACGAGTGCTACGTCACATCCGTCGACACCATCTATCTGCTTGAGCAGCTGGTCGTAGCTCCAGCAAGATTCACTGTTGAGGAGAAGAACCGCATTCGTCGCAACTTGGAAGGTTTCCGCCCCTTGACGGTCAGCAAGGCCAAGGCGGACTCGGAGGAGTTCTTCAAGATCATCATGGCTTTCCCGAACCCGAAGCCGAGAAACATCGAGAAGGATGTGAAGGTGTTCCCTTGGAAGATTCTGGAGTCGGCTCTCAAGAAGATCATTGGCAAATACAGCGCCAGTCCGTCGTCGACGCTTCCCGCATCTCACCTGTTGACACCTACTCCCGTCAGTGCTTATCCGCCGCTGCCGACCCCGCCAGCTCCAACAGTTGCATCGGACCATATCAGCGCTTATGGTGTTCCATCGCAGGTGCACCATGAGGCTTTGACATCGCCGCGTTCGATTACAGGCAGCACCCACAGTTGGCCGACTTACTCAACAGGACCGCCGCGGACACTGTCGCCTGCGCTTACAGCTGTCTCCCCGCGTCAGTCCGGTCTACGTCTGGCGGCACCTCTCCCAGCTGTCACCGGCTATGATAGCCGATCGATGACTGCTGGCTCATACGGCAGCGGTCTGCATACCCCGATTGGAAACCAGCACACGCCTCCACCAGCTCCCGGCCGATGGGACACTGCGATACCTGCCATGCACGCCCCCACGACGTACGCGGAACAGTACCAATCCATGACTTCGCACCATGCCCCAAGCCATCAAGTCTATGGTGGTGTCGGGTACGGGGACGGGGCGCAACGGGCATGAAGCCGCGAGGCCCATGGTCGGGAGGAGAGGGCATGGCCGTGGACCAAGTGAGCGATAGCCCTAGAGACGAGAGAGGTGGCGTGCTTCTGCCTCGTGTCTCCTGAGGCGCAAGCGTGATAGCCTGGTATGAGAGGATCCCGCCAGGGTTCTTGGGAGTGAGTCACTACTACTGGTACTGGGGTGTGGCATCAGGACTGGATGGTAGCCGCGCGTGGACGAGGCATGGGGACAAGAGGAGGACGGACAAGAAGCTCAGATGGAAGAGGAGGTCTCGAGAGACGTCGTTGGAGCGAAGTCGTACGTCGTCGACTTGATTGGGAGGGCATTTGGCACCCTGGACGGCATGGGCTACAACGCAACGAGAGGAACAGAAACGAGTTACACTGCGGCCAAAGACAATGAGAGTGTGGTGGTGGGACACTGCGGTAGGGGGTAGGGGTCCACGGGTTCCACCCCGGTCTCCCCTCCGGTGTCGTCCTGTGTTTTCGGTGTGGATGGGTGGGTCCCGAGGGGCAGTCAGGTGTTGTGGCGCAGACCAATCGACTCTCCCGAACGGCGTCCACCTTTCCCGAAATAGACGGTCAACGCCCCGCTTTGGCCGGCCGATGTGCCAGCCCCACTCCCCCGAACATGGACTGCGGCCTTGTGGACATGGGAGATGCCACTTTCTCCGACGCAGCATCCCTCTTCGCCTTCCATATCCCATCTTTGTCGTCTGCGCGAAAACTTTAGTTTGGGGAGGCGGGGTATCTCCAAGGTTGACGGTTTGCGTCTGCAGCTTCTCGCATCGACTTCAACCCCCCGGAACATACTCACCGCCATCTTCAACCACACACGCTCTGGACCGGATTCTCCATCGCTCTGCGTGACGCCTCGACTGGGCTTATCGCGACCGACCACCTTCATCTGCACCTCGATAACGCATTCGATCCCAAGCCCGCGATACAGCTTCTGATTGGCTGCAGTATTCGTGCATGATGGGTTGGGGGTGTATCTGGTGATCGTCTCTTGGAGGGGTAGCCTGCATCCGTCCGGCCTGCATGACGTACATCATCTGCGTCAAGGACCTTTCAAAGCGACACCGCGCCAAAGCCGCCTGCCTCTAGCACCAGATAACTCCCGTTCTACGCCGTGTGTCGCCTGAGAGCAACCCCAAGTCAACTTGTTTCCGACCACTCGCTTGCCTTCCCGCCATGCCTTTTCGGCCGTGCATTGGCGTACCCGTATGCTTGTCGATGGACCCAAGGGCTCACCCGGACCATTCACATGAGGTGTTGAGCTTTATGTTGACACCCATCTTCAAGTCGGTTGCAGGTCGAGAACGATCTCGTTGCGGGTTCAACATGAAGCGCCAGGCCGCCGAACAGTGGACAACGTAGGTCGGAGCAAACAACCACACCCATCAACTGAGAAGAATCTACCTTGGCATGTCGTTGCTTTACGAACGCGGGTGGCGCGGCTCACTTTATTCTGGCGCAGCTGTTCCGACCCTCCATCTCCAACTCCAGCTCCATGCTTGAGCGACGCTCTCGACCTCGAGATCGACACTACCGGGGCGCGAGCTGATGCACCTCCCGACAAGGAAAATCTCGACGACGCGTATGATGATGGCTCGTCTTTCTTGGCACCTACTTCCCACACCAACCAACCTCTCTGCCCTCCACGTCCGCCCATCCTCGTTTCAGAACTTACCACAGCCGGCGAGCTGCTTTCTTCATCAATAGAGGGATACACTGGCGTTTTACACCCGGACCATTCGGTGATAGACTTGGCTGCATGGCGCGAATCTTTACCCTACACAATCACTCGTTACCACCTTAGACGCCAACTCAAATCGACTCGCTCTCCAACATTACCACCTTCCTAGCTCTCGCGGCCCCGTAGTCGTACCATTATCGGCATACCCACGGCATTTCGTGAAACCCTACATCGCTTATCGACACTACCCTTCGGCAATCTCATAACTGCGCAACTATCATCGCTAACTACATCGCGTCACTCACTTAAACCCCTCGACCATCGCACCATATAACCCCCATACAACGATCTTCTCTGCCCCATTCGCTCTCTCCTTCTTTCTCGATACATTTCATACCAATCTTGCATTCATCTTGGCTTTTGATTCTTCTGTGTTTTTCAAGCGGATGCTCTGGTGAGCACACCGCCGGCGTGTTTCGGGGACCGGTGATAGATTCGGGGTAACCTCTGGATAGGGTCATGTAAGAGGGGAAGGTCTCCCCTCAGGTACAGGTACAGGTACAGGAACACGGACACAGGTACAGTACAGGTACGGCACGATACGGACCGGCGGTTTCGGGATATGGGATACGGGGCTACAACATCTGGTGGGCTGCACATAGCATTATACCCTTCGCTTTTGCTTTTACCGGCTTGGGAATTGGGTTTCTGGTCTTGTCACATATGGGATAGTCTCCTGATAATCATAATCGATTGATATCTTTAAATCTCGCCCCCTTTCAAGTGAATTTCGACTTTCTCGACGATGCATGTACTAGCGAATCGTGATGACTGCCTCCGCCGCGACAGTGAAGTTTATTCCACTATCGCCGGCCGCTGAATCACGACCAAGGCCCCGAGACAATTCGCGGAACCGGGCAAAAGGTTCTTATATAACGACCGTCATCAGCAGACATGAAAGTTGAGTACTCTGCACCTTCGACTAGGATTCTCATGCAACGTCGACGCTGACATCTCTTCAACATACACACATCCCAACCTCCACCGAAAGCACCTTCAAGATGGCGCTCGATGGTGTGGCCATCCTACTTCTTACCATGTACATTGTTATGACCGTCGCCTTCATTGGCCTCTTCGCTTTTATGCTGCTGAGGATCAAGGCCGAGCGGGCAGAATTCGACCGCCGGCTGCAACAGATCGTGTCTGACAACGACCTAGTTGAGGTTTCCGAGAGTGTCTATAGACAGGGCCAGGCTACTGAAGCGGCGCCTAGCCAAGCAGAGAGACAGGCCTGATGTCTTGAAAAAGGCTGACGGAACAGCGCATGGGAAATCGGTGATGCCATCTGCGGGGATATATAGACAACAATGAGAACACGCCTCCGCTGAAAATCAAACAAAGTCTAGCTAGATTCAAGTTATTCGTCTATACGGTCTTACGCCCCCATAATGCTCCTTGTCCGATTTCTCGCCCCCAAGTTCACTCCTGCCCCAATTGCTGATCATCCTGGCCGTCCTTGTCGTTCTTGCCGTCCTGACCGTCCTTGCCATCCTTACCAGTCCTCGAGTCTGAAACCAGTTCATACTCCGGGCCCGCTCGTTGGTAATACGTTTTGATTGTTTCTTGAGAGATACCGAACCAGTCTTCTAAGAGTTTCTTGAGGCTGCTGATGAAGCTTTCATTCAAAGTGTCGGCCTTCCTGTGCAATGGGTGTACTTGAGAATCCATATTATTCAGCTTCTCTCTCGGGATGTGAGAATTTTCGGTCCATTGAAGTTTCTCCCGACTCCCACTTCCATCTCCGAATTCGAATCCCAGGCGAACGAATAGATCTTCGACATTTTTGTACGTGATCTTTCGTTTGGTGCTATGATCCCCATAGATGATTTCCATGGTCCTCCACTCTTTCTTCCTGATCTTGTTCGTGCCTCGAAGGGGGTCGGCTGCCATCAGATCATTGAGGTGCCTCTTGTAATCATCGCCTCGCTGGCACTTTGCAAGTTCCATGGTCACCTTCTTGAGCTCCTCTCTGCGTATCATGCCGTTGCGAGTAGGCATCACGAACTCGGTCGGGGGTTCTTCGTAGTTGGCAGGTCGGAGGTTGGTTATCTTGCCGCAAATGTTTGTGACATTAAATATGCCTTCCTGAAAGCGGATACCCCCCTTGTCGAATGTTTTCCAGGCTTTGAAGAATGTGGATGGATGAGAGGAGTGCCGAGCGGTCGCCTTGGTGACCTTCCCCTGGGCATTGGCTCTCTTTCTCTTTCGAGCCGGCCTCTTTCCCCTTTCCTTTTCCTTCTGCGGTTGCGGAAAGATGGTTCTTGCTATTACCTTCTCACCACATTCATATACGTAGTTGGTAATCTCTACTAGTTTGGAGCCTGGGAAGTCGTCCTCACTGATGATCTTGACCTCGCCATAGTTTACTATGGGTGCTGTCAGTGCCGAAGCGTCACTGTCCAGTACCTCGGAGTAGTCGACCATTGGCTCGTCCTCTATTTTCTCCTCCACGTCGAAAACATCGTCCTGCATTCGGAAGTCTTTGTCGATGTCTTTGATACCGACCGACATCTGCAGTTCGTTGAAAGCCTGGCTCAAGATGTTGACCGAGGTCTTCTGCGGACGCCAAACGTTTCCAGATTCCAGCCATGTGGCAATCTCGGTCCAGAAGCCGTCTAACCATTTCTGAACCAACCCAAAGGGTCTGCTTTGCGATTCGGGCAAGCTTGGATGGTAGTATGTCACCCCAAGAAACCAGTGAACCAATCTCAGCGTCTCTTGATCGATATGCTTCTCGAAGGGAAAGTGGTCGTACTCTTTCAAGAACTGCCAGATAGGACTTTTCTCCCTTAGATCTGTCATATCGTCGGTGGAAAGATCGCCCCCGAAAGGCTGCATGGCTTCCATTCTCTGACTCAGCAAGCCAGCCTCAAAGATTGCCGTGTAGTCCTCGCTGACCATCGGCTGAACTCCGAGAAGGGCGTGACGACGCCGATCAGAATGCATTTTCTGGATTAACTTGGGCAATCCGATCCGGCCTATGGAGTAAAAGGACGAGAGGCCTCTGTGAACCGCATCGGTTGCAAGTCTGACATCCTCCCATCCCTCAACGTTCAACGGTTTCTTGTAGCCAGCCACCGCAGAGAAGTCCATTTTGATACGGCCTTCCCTCGGAAGTGTCCACTGATCTGATGGAGCTTCGGGTCTTAGATTATCCCACGTTTGGGTACGGCGGAAGTAATCCCTGATGGAGTGAGTCGCGAGCAGACCGCCGTGATCGAACAGATGTCTGACATGTAGTGCGGCGATCCAGCGCGCATGGAATCCCAGATCAACCCAGGCGTCCATGACGGGCCCTTGCACGTCCAGTTGCTCGGTCCTGTCGTCTAGGTTGATGTTCTCGTCCTCGGCAAGCTTGCGCAGTCTTTCTAATTTGTCGAGCAGGCATTGCCACATTTCAACTTCGAATACGGCTCGACTGATAACTCGTCGGATGAGATCGTTGACCAATGCCTTCTTCGCGTCAATATCTGTGTTCGTGATGTGAGGCAAAATGCGATATTCATCGTTCTCATTGTCTGAAGAATCCGTGATGTGGCCATAGTGTTGATCGTACTGATTCTGAATGCTGCGTCGGAAAACGGCCGGATCATGACACAACTCTCGCAGTTGTTCCTTTGCGAAAGCCGCTCGCTTCTCCAAGCGGGACTTGAATTCGACATCCCAGCTTGACGCAGTAACAGAGGGTGGGAAAAACTGGCCACTGGTAGCCAGCCCCTTGCCGACGGCATCGAATCTCAGAAGTTCCGTCGGAATTGTTTTCCAAGTATGGGCCTTGCAAATGGGAAGATGTTTGGACACCGGTTGACCGTTGAGATCTTCGCCCCGGCTTCGCAACCCATCAACATAAGCCGACAAGTCCTCGGCTACGACTTTGACGAAGCGCAGCGTCACGGCCTGTATTGCGAGGACCATGATGCCTTCTTCCCATCCAAACAGGAGGCCAGCCTTCTTCAACCGCGGGAACAGTCCATCTTTCGTGTCCTCGCCTGTGGGGTCCTTGAAGACGACAGCATAGTCGTGGAAGTACTCACGTCTCTCGTGAGGCTGTTTCATGTCCAGTAGCTCAGCCTCTGGTGGGAAGCCCATGAACCAGTTGTCGTGATAGGCCGGGACACAGAACTTACCAGCCCTTCCAAGGTGACAGCCTTCCCAGTCTGCACGAGCAAAGACTCGGGGGTGGTTGGCGATGCGGTTGAGAATGAGCGACCGAAGAATTTGGGGGTCCGAAAGGTCCTCTTGGTTGAGAAATGGGAGCATATTTACTCTGTGTGTAACAAACCATTCTTTTCCCACCTGCTCCTCGGCGTAGTCGTGGAAATGAAAGAGTGAATTCCAACGCTTGTCACCGCCGGGTCTTGAGAGTGATTCCAGATATACGACGTCGTCAAGCGACCTGCGAAAGCATTCGGTGACATCGATATCGCGGCCTTCGGGGAGAGGATAGTCCTTGCCAAACCAATATGCAAACCAAGATGCGGCACCTTCCTTAGTCTGAGTGGTGGGAGATGATGCAGTCTGGCCTCTATCTGCCGCATCAGAAGCAAAGGACCACCACTGATCGAACAACTTGAGCCAAGACCGATTGACAATATCTTTTAGCTGAGCAGCGTTGACGTGTTCGAGAAGGCCGGTAAGAATGTTTACGTTTAGCGAATTCTTCAATGCGCTGGCATCCCCCCATGCCGTTTCTACCTCTGCCATCAAAATCTTGGTCAAGTTTTGTGCAGTCTCCTCATCGGAGAGAAGTTCAGGAATCCACTTATCGATGAGTTGATTCGAATCCTCTTCGTCGACGGCTTGATTTGGATCCTTGGCATGCGGATATGCGAGATCGTGTAGATCAGAGCCAGGGTAGTCGTGTTTGTATGGAAAGTTACCAATAGATTTTGTCCATGGGTAGCCCGTGAAGAAAGCGTACGATGTGTGCGACTTGTCCATATATATAGGTTGCAGATGTCTGTGTCCCTCAGGGAGAAGCAATCTTAGCGGCCTGGACTTCATCGTGGGACGCCTCGTTGGGGCCATGACAGAGAGAAAGAGATTGCGAGGGTGCGGTAGGGTGATTGCTGATTTGTAGGGGTTGGTTGCAAGACGCAGCAGAATGTTGAGTTCACGGGAAGAAGCATGTTTGATGGATGCACAGATGTCAAGGCTGAGAAACCGTCCTTATATATCATGATAAGAGAGGCGGCCGACAAAGATTGTAGAGATGGCATTCAAGCCGTGGCATTGGCAGCAACAAAAGGATAGAGCGTCGACATAGAACAATGGTTCCACGAAGTTTAGAAAGGCTTTGTAGGAGGCGATGACTATTTCCGTCGACTTGATCATACGTCAGGAGGGACATGATGAGGAAATGCCTGCGATCTGTAGGGTGGGTTGACCAGACAAGACTTGTACCGTAGTTGATGACTCGGATAACTAAGGTATGGTGAGGCGGCGAAGATCACGAGCAAAGTGATAAGAACAGCGAGGTCTCAGGTAGGGCAGATAGGCTGGCCGAGTTTCAGACAGGTGAACCAGGTTTTCTGATGGTGGGCGTTGAAGAAAAGCCGTTGCAAATTGACTGGGACGTTTTGACGCAAGGGAGACTTCTCTGATGCGTCGTCACGTTGAGGGAGGCAGAAGCCATGCGTGTGAGAGGAAGTGGAGGACGACCGCACGCAGTGACAATGCCTTTGCAGAATGATTGATGGGAAAGATGAAGGCCGACCAGATAGATTCAGATGACGGCGTGGCAAGAGGAAAAGACGGCAGGGGTACGTTATCTGTGCCTTTGAGTAGGTGTTCCTGGCGCAATCAATAGCGCCATTGTTGGCGAAGAAAGAGCAGAGCAGAGGTGGCAGCTTGGTGATTGGGACGACAGGAAGGAGGTTTTCGCAGGCTACCTTACGGGGGCCGGATCCGGGAAGGCAAGGGAAGGCCACGCTTAATCGAGTTTAAGCTGAGGGTCTGGTGGGTCTGGGCCCAAAAAAAAGCTGATTCTTTCGCAGGCGAGTGTTTGATTGTGTGGCGCCCAGTGCCCGCGCAGGGACCACCGTCCGGCCCACCTTCCGCGTCGTATTCCACGCGGGAGGCAGGAACCACACACCACAGCAAGGGAAGGAGGGAAAGAACCGCAGGCACCACAAGGCAGGCACGCTGCACGCAGGGCAGGGGAGGAGGTGGGACGTGAAAGAGAGGGAGCAATCGCGTTTCCATCTTTCCCGTTTCTTTAATCGCGGAAACAGGGAAACACGCACAAAGAAGAAAACGAAATAGAGGGACATCATCCACCTTCCTTCATCATGAACCAGAACACCACCACCACCACCACCACCACATCCCTCGTCCCTTGCCTCGTTGATCACCCACGGTGACCTCGCCAAGGCTGTATGCCCAGGCCTTGGTAGGACACCATGAATTGACGGTTCACTCGCTCACTCGCTCTACGAGTCCAGGTCTCATTGCCAAGGCCAATGGACAAAGGCTGCAGGAGAGTGGGATTTATTGGCACTGGAGACGCGAGCTGAGCATATCGCCGCCCAAACCGGCAAGGACGGCGGTGCCACATCGCTCTAGAGACTAGGACTTCCAGCTCCCTTATCGAGAGACGCTAATTGCTGCATTATTCGTCCTCGACCTGGCAGTATTCCGGGCCCCTCGAAACCACCATCCCGAGCACCGCCAGCGCCATCCTGCTCACCGTCGACGCCAGCACCAACGCCAACGCCGCCAACGCCAGCCAGATCCGACGCGATGGGCCGCTAAACTCCGTACCTTGCCTTGCCTGACGCCCTGCACCGGTGAAAGACATTAAGACATTCATCAGACACCTTTTTTGTTTCCTCCTTATTCTCCCTCCCTCCCCCCGACTTGCCTTCCTGTCCTGCGATTCCAATCTTTTTCTATCTGTATTCGACTCACCTTTGCGTACTTACGATGCTACATTGAGCACCTGGCTTTATCCATTGTCGCTCGTTTTATCGCCAGATTCAAGTGCTCCGAACCACCACACTCCTTCCATTGACGCCTTTGAACCATCCGTTTCGATAACCCGACCGCAACTGACAATCTGCCTCGTTGCCTTTGCATCATCGCGAACCAAAGTGTCAGCTTCTCTCGTATCGAAACACGCCGGAACATTCGTGGATTGAACCCCGCAGGTCGCCGTGACCAACGTCGTCGCATTTGCTCCGACCGCCGTCGAATCGACCCGAACCGGCTGGACTGGAGCTGGAAACCCGACTGGAACCCGGTCTCACCCACTTCTTCCGCCCGCGATGCTCTCCACATTCCTCCTGGCCCTGTTGCCCCTCGTGGCCGCCCAGACCAAATCCTCGAAGCGCGGTCTTGTCTTCACTCCCAATGCCAGCTGGCCCCAGGACAACCAGGTCTGGGTTCAGGCTGGCTCCGATCTGACCTGGTACTACAACTACCAGGAGATCCCGAGCCCGGCCTTCTCTTCCAAAACCCAGGCCGAATTCGAATTCGTCCCCATGATGTGGGGTGTTTCCTCCAACCCAGAGGACACCACCTTTCTCAAAGCTGTAAAGAGTCTGATCGAGGACAAGAACATCAACATCACCCATGTTCTGGGCTTCAACGAGCCCGATGGCCCCGCACAGTACGGCGGCAGCGACATTGCTCCCGCCATTGCTGCCAAAGCCTGGGTCGCCAACTTTGTTCCTCTGGGTGAGATGGGCGTCAAGCTGGGCCTGCCTGCTTGCACTGGACAGCCCGCCGGTCTGCCATGGCTGAAACAATTTCTGGGTAACTGTTCCGACCTGATTAGCACCTCGGGTGACAAGAAAAACTGCACATACGACTTTCTTCCCGTGCATTGGTACGACAACTTCGCCGGCCTGGCTAGTCACATTGGCGAGCGTAGAGCCAAGTAAGTCCTTTGACGTGATATCACAATGGCATCCGCACTTGCTGACAGTAGCCCAGCTTCCCGGACGCAAAGATCTGGGTCACGGAGTATGCCTATGCCCACCAGGATCTCGCTACCACCCAGGAGTACTACAACCAGACAGCCGATTACTTTGACAAAATCGACTACATTGAGCGGTACACTTACTTTGGCGCATTTCGTTCCAAGACGAGCAATGTTGGAGCCAACGCTTCGTTTCTCAACAACGACGGCAAGCTGACCGACATTGGCTCTTGGTACCTGGGCTTCACCGCTACGGGAGTGAATCCTCAGTCTGGCAACAGCGGTAGCACGCGGCAAGGACCGCCAATGCTTGTGGCTGCCGCGGCGACATTTGCTGCTGTTGCCTTTGCCTTTAGCTTCTGATCATGATCAGTAATCTGCGAGCGCGATAGATGACGCAGGGCACATGAGAGATGTGCCGCTGCAAAGGTATTTTCAACATATAGACGGCTAGAGGATCAAAATGTCCATAAAAGCTACCGACATATTTCTAATGTATTTTCTTTGGGCTGGTTTTGGTCATAGACTGGGAAGAGCATGGGTGGTTGACGACAGTCACCAACTTGACTGGGATGAGAAGACGACGGGTATCTGTCGAGCATGAATATGAATGAAATTCTGAACACCTCGAATATCCTGCGCAGCGTTCGCGTCTTGAAATCTTACAAGGTGAACTTCCTTCCCCGTGCTATTGCGACAATATTCCACGTTGCCTCTGCTCTCAAGTTCATTGGTCCAGGTACCACGCAGAGCTCACTAAGAGTCTCAGACAATAGGGAGGAACCATGGCTGCGACGATGTGAGGGTAAACAATTTCTTGGAGGCTTTAGTACCGAGGACCAAGGTAGCACAGAGAGGTCCAGCCGGGGCATTTGACTTTAAATATGCGTGCGCATGGCAAGGACTCTTATTCAACCCAAGGCCTCGTCTGATGAGTCTTGCCGGTGTGATGACAGGAGCTGTCAATCGGCAAGACCGGGAATGGGTGCGGCAGATGGACCGAAGAACGGCACAATGCCCCAAGGGGTCCTCGAGTGGATGCAGATTGGGACAGAGCTAGCTGCTGTTAGGCATCGCGAGGGTTTTCATGCCTTTGGTTAACAAATTCCATCTGCTGCGCTACTGCACCCCAGACTCCGCGGCATCCCCATTACTCGGGGCGCTGGGTTTCTACTGGCCGGTTCGCTGGCCGAGATGCCTCGGCCCAATTGCCTCCCCCACAGCCACTGGAAGGGCCTGGAGCGCGCGGGTCCGCGCAGTCTGGGGGCTGGGACAGGCCTACGAGGCCCGAACCCGACGCGATTGCCGGCAGCTAAGGCCAACCCCGACGCAAACCATGTCTACTTTACCGGTGCCCCCTCCTTTCATGACCAGCAACGAAACTCTCGAGCTTATTTCTCGCCTTCTCCGTCTCTCTCCTTTTCTTCAGTCTCCGAAGCTGCCAACTTGCCTTACCTGTCGTCTTCGAATCGCATCACCCGCCCGTAATCAGCAACCATGGCCCTCGAGCGAATTGGCTCCATCGTGAAGCACCTGGCTCCAGGTAGCGCCATCAACCAGATGTACGTGCTACTACTCCCATGTGATCGTCGCTCACAGCGATCCGGACTTCGTTCGGCTTCTCGACCAAAAAGTCTCCGACCCGGAAACTGACAACATACTCTTCCTCTTCATAGCCAGTCCAAGAACCCCGATGATATCGTCATTACGTTAGCTATCCGTACCCCGTTGGCCAAGGCCAAGAAGGGTGGCTTCAAGGACACGAGCCTCGAGTACATGGTCTACGCCCTCCTGAAGGAGGTTCGCGAGCGATCCAAGATTGAGCCTGCTGCGGTGGAGGACATTCGCATGGGAAATGTGCGTAGCAACCTATTCTTCCCCCACCCTCCCGACCCGGAAACACTCCTGCTGACTCTGCCGTTCTCCAGGTCTCCGATGGCAAGGCCGCCTACAAGCTCCGCGCCGCCGCCCTCGCGGCTGGCTTCCCCAACACCGCCGGTGCTTCCTCCATAAACCGATTCTGCTCTTCCGGCCTCCAGGCCACCGCCGATATCGCCAACGCCATCACCACGGGCTCTATTGAGGTCGGCATCGCGCTCGGCGCCGAGAGCATGAGCATTGGCGGCGACGCCCTCGAGAAGCCCTTCGATGACGCCGTCGTCAGCCAGTCCCAGGAGGCGGCCGACTGCATGCAACCCATGGGCTGGACCTCGGAAAATGTTTCGCACGACTTCAACATCACCCGCGAGGAGATGGACAAGTACGCCGCTGAGAGTTTCCAGAGAGCCGAGAAGGCCCAGCAGGCTGGCCTGTTTGACGACGAGATTGTGCCTATCAAGACCAAGGTCGTTGGACCTGACGGAGAGACAAAGGAGGTTATTCTTACCAGGGACGAGGGCATCCGTCCGGGTACCACCGCCGAGAGCTTGGGTAAGATTCGGGCGGCTTTCCCGCAGTGGGGTCCCACGAGCACGGGAGGCAACTCTAGCCAGGTTACTGACGGAGGTGAGTTCTGTCGTCCCAAAAACCGCCCTAAACTCAATTTATTTTGGCATACTGACTTTGTGGGAAGCTGCCGCTGTGCTTCTGATGAAGCGTTCCACCGCCGTCAAGCTCGGTCAGCCCATCCTGGCCAAGTACGTTGGCTCCACCGTTGCCGGCCTGGCTCCCCGCATCATGGGTATCGGCCCGTCTGTTGCCATTCCCAAGCTGTTGGCTCAGCACAACCTGTCGCTCGCCGACATTGACGTCGTCGAGATCAACGAGGCCTTCTCCAGCATGGCCGTCTACTGCCGTGATAAGCTCGGTCTTGACTGGGCCAAGATGAACCCCCGTGGCGGTGCCGTCGCCCTGGGCCACCCTCTCGGCGCCACTGGTGCGAGACAAATTGTTACTGGTTTGAGCGAGCTCCGCAGGACAAAGAAGAAGGTCCTTCTGACTAGCATGTGCATCGGCACTGGCCAGGGTATGGCTGGCCTGTTTGTCAATGAGGTTGTGTAATATACCGGTTGATAATGTACGAGAAATATCAGAATGGAAATGAGTGTATGATTACTGCGTTGGGAAGTGTCTCTTCGATGATCTTTTTCAATTGCGTGTTTGACATCGGACTTTGGTCTAAACTTCTGCAAGACTCCCAATCAAGCCCTCAGATCAGCTATGAATTAATCCCCAAGTCACAAACAGCATCCGCTCATTGTTGCTGCACTGAACAGTTCCCTGCAACCCCAGCTTCCCGCTTTGCTCCAACACCGCGTAGCGGTTAGTGTAGAACCGGATGTCGTTTGTCCCAATTCTCATGGGACTCGCTGCGCTTCCGGTGTCGGCGTACCTCGCAGCGAAGCTACACGTTCCAGAGCTGGCGACACGAGCCCAACCGCCTGCAAAGTCGCCTGGCTGCAGGGTCCAGAAACCGTTTCCCAGAGCGTTGGCGAGGGCCTTGCAGTCTGCCGCCAGTGGTGCCGAAGTCGAGAAGTCTGTTGTTGGGTCTTGGGCTAGTTCACCGCACCATTCGTCTCTGCCGGCAGAGAACGGGAACCGCTTCGTCAGCCGGACTGGGCGGGTACCTTCTGACCCCCGAGTGAACTTCAGTCGTCTGTTGATGTAGATGGTTGAAGTAGTTCCATCGGCTTGGGTAATGGTCCGAGGCACCATGCCCGAGAGCTCAACTCCGGTGGCAGTGACCAGAGAGAAAAGACCAAGGGTGACGACCCATAGCAAGACTTTGGTGAGCGAATGGATTGTCATGTTGAAGGTATTGAGTAGGTAACGAATGGATTGTTTATTATGAGTTTGAGTAAGTACAGGCTTCCAGAGTCTGAAGGGTGAGCAGCTTGATAGATAGCATGAGAGTAGATAACGCAAGGGAGCGGTCGCTTATATGTTAATCGCGACAAACGCCAGGCGGACGAGAACCCCGACGTGAAGTGGGCATAACCAAGCACGAACGATACTACTGCGCACATCACTGTGCATGTCATCTCAGTCAGTTTGGCATTTTCGCCAATGGCCATGCCGTCTGCACTCCTTCGCCCGAGCTGACAAGCGTGTGCCAACTCCTGCAGGAACCGTGGTTACGGGGCCAAGGCGAGTGATTCGTCAGAAATGCACACATGCAAGCCACGGCCCCCGCAAACATTGATGAATGAGACGGGGCTTACATTGTGATGTCGGTGAAGAAGTTTTCTCGCGATGCCGTTGGGTCGGCGGGGACCCCCCCTTTCTGAAGTTTAAGTGATGGGGCCGGAATGTGATGTGACGAGAAACGGCCCCCGAAGGGGGCGGGGATTGGCACCGGAAGCGCCCAGCTCGGGGGTGACATCAATGCGGCACTTGAACGTCACCCAATCACAGCACACGGCGGGGCTTGTTGGTTAGGCTCGGGATCTACGGGCGTCCACTTGTTCTGCCGGTGACAGAATGGCGCTGTGATTGCATGATCACGTTGGGCCTGTGGATCGTGGTGATTGACAGGTTGACGATAATCTCAGATTGGCAGTGTGCGGGGCCAGGCTTCAGGTCCTGGATTTCTCGCATCCTTGTGGAATGTCTGGGGGGCTAGACGCAATCCTCATGATCCGATGTCAGGATCATGTTCGCATGGATTGCTTCTGTCTGGTCGGCAAGCTTGCTCTTATGGTGCACATAGGATATGGAGTTGCTGTATCAGGCCACCCAGTGATGGTGGCTACTGGAATGTGACATTCTCACACTGCCGTCGTACAAGAGACAAAGCAAACATCGAAGCAGCAAGTTTTGTGTTAGGGGACACGCAATGATGGGCAGCCTCGGATGCTTGGTGAAAGGGTTGCTGTTGACGGTTACATACCTATCCGGCCCTCCTGTTCGGGACTGCGCCGTAGAGATGCAGTGTCATCCGGCTCGGCCTCGCCCGTGTCGAACGACACAAGATCAGCCTAGGCCACACGAGCAACATCGGCCTCGAGGTTCGAGACGGCTTGTCTTACTGCGTCCATCCCGTCGACGTCATCCTCGAGAAACTTGGTGGCTTCGTATCGGTGCGGCTGGCCCTCGGCGAGAAACAGTTTGACCTTGTCTTCTCCTAGACAGTCAACCATGTGAGTACTGACGGCGAGATCGACGTCCTCGTCCGATTTGCCTTGGGTTATGGTCGTCGGTGGCCAAGCTGCGACCTTGTCTTTAGCACTTGCTGCTGTGGCCCATTCATATCCCGGGTCAATATCTCCGACGAGCCCAGGGAACTCGTTCCTATACAAATAGTAATCGTAGAGACGCCCGCGGGGGAACTCATCGGTGTTGCCATCTTCTGTGATAGGGACCGTGGTGGCATCAAAGTTGGCGTTCTTGGTCCCGTCAGGTAAGAGCTTGTCGAGATGAAAGACCTGGGGGTTGTTGGCCGATGTAGTTCCCACAGAGACGGCTGCCGCAAGATGATGCGACATTTGCGATTCAGCGATGGGCTCTGGCGTGAGCAAGACTGAAGAGTTGAAGAAGCGATGGCGGAAGGTGGTGATACCGGTGACTGAGAGCAGTGCGATGGGGGACGGTGTGAAGTGGTGGGCGGTCAGAGAGGCCATGAAGAACCCTATTCGACGGTTAGCTATCCGACGGTCACAGACATGTCTCTGCCGTGTGCTCACCAGCGCTCCCCCCGCCGACAATGACCTTTCGTTCGACAGCATTGCTGGACGCGCCTAAGTGTCGCGCGAATTTGTATGCTGCTCGAGCATCCTCAAGCAAGCCCGAAGCTTTCGCTTGTGGGAGCAGACGATAGCTTGCGCTTACCAGAGGCCATTTGTTTCTAAAGCAGACCTGGGGTTGCTGTCAGAATGAGACGGCGCATGCAGTGAGACGATGCAGGACTCACCTGTGCAAGCCATGGTGGTACGCAAGATCTGGAGCCGGTGACTAGACCCCCCGAGTGGAAGTACAGGAAGACGGGTGAGGTAGCCGGGTAGTCCTCGGCCGAGTAGACGTCGCACTCGAGGGGGATAGTGTGGTGAGCAAAGACATGCTTTGTCTTTGTCAAGCGATGGGCGCCACGCAGTGCTTGGGATGACCTGTCTCAATGCGGGGGTTGGTAAATAACACCAGACGGAGCGATGGCAGGCTTAAGCTGAATCTCACAGAGGATGGCTGGGCATTTTGTGGTTGCACGAGCAGGCAAGGAATCGCCTGACGGATCTGACAGTGACATATTTGGACAGCATTGTAGATGCCACCGTGGCGTTCATCATGAGATGTAGCTGAGGAGTTGTGGTTGGTTGGTTGATTGGATGTCTTGTCATGTTCAGACCTTACACTGTATGCCCGCTGCGGGGTCTACCCACCATCGAAGGATTACCTACCTAAGGAATGAACAAGTCTTTCCAGAGAAAAGCCGAAGTACGTCGGCTCCTCCTTCGTTATCTAGACGACCAGAGAGGACTCGAGATCGGTGATGCAGCGCTCTGAACCACTCTATGATCGGTATGAGGTGGCCGGGAGGGGGAGCTGAAAGTTTCCCGTGGGTAAGTGCGGCGACAGACCGGCGCTGGGCCGATGGATTTGAAGAAAAGGGTCGGAGAGGGGCCGGGGAGCGGGGTAGACTGATGGCTCCACCGTGTTTTCTGCATTGCAGAGGCAGCAGGGTGCATTATCTAACACAATTCGAAGGCGGTGTGCCTCTTTGGGCCTAGCGCTCGTGTTCGGCGCGGATGGATTTTGCCGATACCCCGGCCGGTCCAAACACTGCAAAGCCAACCTAACCCAGGAAGGAACCTTGGAGGGAACATGGCAATCAGTACGTAACATGCTGCATACCATATCGTCGAATCGAGTTCCGCTGACACATAATTTTAGGCCCGACGCATTGATGTCACTCCCCGGTTTGCTTGGTCTTTGCTCAGCGACTGCGGAATGCTTAATCCTTGCAGGAAAAAAAAACAAAAAAAAACACGCACATTCGCCTGCCGACCGACCGCTCTTCACCCCCCCCAGTCGCAGTTGCAGCCGCAGCCGCAGTCGCAATCGCGCAGTCGAGGCCGAAAGCCCAGCAGCACATCTTTACCTCGCTCTGGGCTGCAAGGTCCCTTGGCCGTCGCCTCCTCGGTTCGGACAAGATCCCAACTCGCCAATCCATGCCCCAAGGAATTTGATCTCTGTCGCCATCGCCTGAACAAGGGACGAGTCAGCCGGCGCTGTGACAAATCCTCTTACCATGGTCTGGCCTGGCATCCCACCACCGAACTGATACAAGCCATCCGTCAACCGTCTGTATCACCGTCTTTTCCGTCACGTCTCCCGTCTGTGGTGTCTTCTTCCTTCCGTCTCTACCCGCCGCCCGACCACCCATCCTTCGTCACCTCGTGCAGACGTTGGACCCTGAGACGTTTGCTGCGACTGCAACTTCCCGGGAACACACACCTGCGAGGTCTTTGTTGGTTGTTGACGACGACAGAAACATAATCTCCGAATCCATCTAGTCTCTACAGTCAGCCTCGTCGCCCCGCCAATTCGACTGTCGTCATTTCGCATGTCTCCCGCCGCATTCCCGTAACCACGTCTTTTCTTTTTTTTCTGTGCTGCTCTCTCGGTTACGAAGCGAAAATGTCAGGCGGCCGGCCACAACCAAACCGCAGTCCTTCTTCACAGCAGCACCTCCCCATGAACCCGAGCGGCCTGCGCCAGAGCTACACCATGGGTTCACCGCCTGTCCAGTCGCCTGGCTCTATCGGCGGCGAGTCTGAGTACATGAGCACTCGCGAGGACGCGACTCCTCTGGCGACACCGCTCCCCAACGAGAACGATAGCGGTCGAGATACCCCGCGCGCCGGTTCCAGCCTCGGTCGACCAAACACTTTCCCTCCAAGCGAATCCACGAGCCTCCTGCAAAATGTCCTCATCGATAACTCCGCGCCGACTAGCTACACTCATGGCACTTTTTCGCCCAGGCCTACCAGTCCTACGGGCAGCGCCCGCAGCGCTGACATGGACCGACCGTCCTCCTCTGCCTCCTCGATCCCCATCCTCGATTCGGT